ACCCGACCTGCTTCGTTCTCTTGATAACCTCCCTTTCCATTTGCTCAAAAATATCATCGGTTGTTTGAGTAACCTTAATAATAATCAAGTGCATCACAAGTCCCGGATTACAACTGTTGATCGTAACAAACTTGAGGATTCGAAGAATTAAGCTGGTCTTGCGACGCAGAAATATCTCCGGTCTCCAGTAGTGATACTGCATTACTATGTTGGAATGATGTACTCAACCCCGAAGAATCCGTCACACTGCCATCTGGAAAGGATTACTCACTCAATGATTTTCAAGAGGGAACTTCTGAGGAGAAATTTTCTCACCGTACCTATAGAACCATCTGAACTCATCGTTCCACCACGGCCTAATGCGCGTAGTTTTTTGGCTTGGGCTCGCCGCATATTGTACTCCTAAACGAAAGACATGATGCACAAAGGTTACATACACAATTTATTGAATTTGGAACCTTTCGTTGCTCAGGTGTCATTTTCTGATATCGCGCTCGAGCTGCTTCAGCTTTGCGAGCGTTTCTTATCATGATCTGTTGCGCCTGAAATGCTGTACACTTGTTATTTTCATCACAATGGTAAGAAGAATACCCAACCTTTTGCAGAGCTTCAGCGGAAATTCGGCCAGCTGGCGTTGAGAGTAAAATTTCTTCTTCAATCCGACGTTTACGAAAGGACTCCGTACGCCTTTGGTTATACTCACGCCTTTCTTCTGCAGTCATACGATGATATCTGTAAACACCCGATAATTTTGAAACATTGCCCAAATATCTATCACTCACTCGCTGACTACTGATACTCCACACTCACCTAAGCCTTGCTGCTTCGGCTTTTTTCGCGTTTGCCATCTTAATATGCTCTCGAATCGCTTCATTGTCAATAAATTGACCTTTCGGAGTGTCAGGATCAAGCCCTAGAGCGCGTAGTCTTCGCCTCTGATTATATATCCTGAAAAAATTCGTTCTTGCATGAAGCACTCAAGTTAAGTGAAAACTAAACAACGAAATGAAAATTACTTTCTCTCTGCTTCACTCATACGCTGATAACGAGAACGAGCTGCTTCCGCGCGCCTCATTTTGGACCTCTGTTCCCGATACTTTTGGAGATCAATCTAAACGTGGGGATCTTACACGACAGAGAAATTTCCTGTATTGTTGTGTCACTCACATCTTCGTTGGAATCGCGTAACAAATCATCTAGCTCTTTTCTGTCACGTTCTCTACGCTCCATTTCTCTCTGTTTTTTGTTTCTGTCGTCAATGTCTTGATCAAGACCTGCCTCCATATGATCATATCTGAAAAAGTTTTTGTCCTCTTAATGCAAAAAAAAAATCATCCAACTCTTAGACACCCCATAGTGCTTCAAGCAATTGGTTCGCATGAGCATAAACGATTTCAGCTCGGAAAAACCATGCACTTGACAAACATGTTAGGGTTCCCTACGACAAATGTTTAAAATCCTTAGTTCAAGCAAGGCAATCTTGTACTGACAGTAATAACGTGAAGAGAAAACGGACAATAGCTAAAGATAGAAAAAATCGCTTACTCATCGTGTTCGTGGTCACTGTTGTCCATTGTTTGAGAAGAAGTACTCGGTTCGTGCTCCACAAAATATGTATCTATGAAGGCATTCATTTGATCTGCCTGTGCAACAGCTGGATGCTCTTTAGATAACGTGACAGTGGACGAGAGCTGCAGAACGCATTTCGTAGACACGCTGGTTCTACACAAACCATTTATTTTCCGACAAACCCACCAGTCCATTTTCCGAAGTGGTAATGGAAGAAGATAGTTCTGGGAGCCGGCTTTGTAGCGAGCTATGCGGACTCAACTCTGCTGATGCAGAAGAAGACATAATGTTAGAAGACACCAGCAACTATAAGAGCATTGCTCAACCATTATCAAATCTTACAACAATTACAACCTACGTAATCATCTTTTCGATCCTGCGAAAATAGAGTTGTGTTCCCATGAAATGTTGTTGGTGCAGGCGTGTAATATGTCGTCGTCTAAAAAAGGTACCCTCATCGATCTTGAATGAGAAATGAAAAAAAACATCGTGGGAAAAGGGAACTAGCCTGAGGATGAAATGCAAGGTTGGTCTGAGAAAAAGACGACACCTCAGCTGGTGTGAGGGTTTCCAAAATCCGACCATGAGGCGATGAGCTGTCTCTTGGAGAACCCGCTGTTATGTATATCGAATGCTGATTCATCTAAGATTTTTTTTTGGAAAAAAAGAACCCAAGTTTGCGTGAAGTCTAACAAATTGCCAGAAAAGACAGCATGTATAACAGCGCTCGACACCATAACACAAAAGAAACGATGGATAATGGCAATCAAGTTTATTAAGTTTGCGTGCCTCTTGAACTTAGTCATAAATTTGAAGACAAATAGAACGAGAACTATTTCACGATAAATAAAATAGAGTAGATAAGACAAATCACCATCTAATGCCTAATTTAAGCGAAAATCCACAATAAGCTTATGGATCCAGTAATTAAAACAACTCATAAAAAGAATAGCAAAACGATGCAAACAGGCACACATAATCAATATGAAACATTAGAGACACACATGAAAGTGACAAAAACAAAATCCCTTCCTACCCTCGGGTGTCATTTATAAAGGAATCAAAACTATATAGACGTTAAACTGGCTTCGAGGTGAGATAACAAAAACAAATAACTTGTTGCTCTTCGCACTGAAAAATGTAAGCAAAATACTCTGGAACAATATTAACGAAGTCTGATGCACTTACACAACGAATGTAGTAACGCCTGACGAATTGATTCTAAGCCCGAGATGGTGGTGCTCCGTAAGGATTGATGATCTGTTGTTGGATATGTTGCCCGCTCACCATCAAGCCACCGGTTGTATAAGTTATCTGTTGCGGAGCCGACTGCTGATGGACGAGTTGTTGACCGCCCGAGGTAGTAGGAACGTGTTGCTGAACTACCAAATGACCCGATGAAGATGGCATCTATAACATGAGCAGCTCCAGCATCGTTAGCATCGAGTGGCCTCGGATTTCATTTAGAAAAGGAAAGTATAGGCGAGAAGAACTAAAGAAAAATAGGAAGAAAACCGAACCAAGGAACAAAGTGATCTCTCAATCACCTGTTGTTGACCAACAGTGACGTGAGGGCCTTGTTGCCCCTGGATTGTTTGCACTGGGACTTGATGCACAGTATGTACGACTTGCTGATGTGTGACACCGTTTGATGAAGCAAGTTGAATCTGAAACTTGAACTCATGAAGAATGTTTAGCGACAACAAAAGCGAGAAGATTCCTCGCTGGAGACTCATAAAAAAAACTATTCCTGACAGATTTTCCTGGTATTACTGATAAACTCAAACCAGTTTGGTGCCCATTACGGGGAAACCTTTTTTTATATTTTCTCAGGCAAGACATTCAAAATGCAACAAACCTGTTGTACTTGGCCTTGCCCTATATGAGTGACTGGTGTTGAAGTTCCTTGCTGGATAATATATGTGCCACCTTGAACTCCTTGAGGAGTTGGAGTAGTGGCCACCGGTTGTGAAATCACTTGTACGGCTTGACGTTGTTGACGCATTATCGCCTTAAGAAGTCATATTACCCGATATGACTATGCTTTAAAAGTCGATAACTTGGAATTACTCCCAAAAAAAACTCTTTGCCCTACCTGTTGAGCTTGTTGAGTCTTCTTCAGAACATCTCGCTCGATTACAGTTAGCGCGTCCTCTTCCTAAAAGAAGTCCACCCTTCTATAACGTTGAAAATGGAATATTAACGAGCATGCAAGAAGCCTATTAACGAAGAGGGTGTTAATGGGAACAACGAGCAACTACCTTTTTACATGATCCAGCCAAAGATCCGCCGCTGGACGATAGCATCGAATCCATACCCTCCATACGCCTCCGTTTTGGAGTATACCGTTTTTGATTGTAGGACTGCAAAGGGTTCGATATATACCTCTCCTGATTATAAGACTGCAAAGAAGGGGTTTTTTCAACGAAAAGTTTAGCGTTTTGTGAGAATGTGGTTCTCCGAATGTCGACCAATTCAAACCTTTCTTTGATCTGGAGTCATTCGTTGATATCGCAGTCGAGCTGCCTCAGCTCGTTTTGCATTGCGTACAACAATCTGTTGAGCCCTGTAAATGTTGATTGCTTCGAGAATTTGCGGTATTAATGAAACACTGTCAACTGCCAGGGAAATAAGAAAATAAAAAATAATATGTTAGACTTACCTGTCTAGCGCTTCTCCATTGATTCTACCAATCGGCATAGCTAATAACATTTCTTCCTCCATTCTACGCCGCCGGAAAGCTTCTGTACGTCGCTGATTGTAGATGCGTTTCTCCTCTTCAGACATACGATGGTACCTCAAACAATTCACCTTACCCCATCGCAGCCCCACAAAAATCAATGTTGATACCTACACACAATCATTTCAGAATCACAAAGTTTTTGGGCCAACGAGTACTAGATTTTATTCAATACCTTTGCCTTGCCGCCTCAGCTTTTTTCGCATTTTGTGCTTTGATATGTGCTCTGACGGCCTCCTCGTCTTTGATAGGATCACCAGTACCACCCGCAGCCTAATGTTAGATTGTAAAATAACTTCGATTTCCAATCCCGAGAACATCTGCTGCTTGCAACGAAACAGATTATACGCCACAGTGGCGTATAGCTCTGCTGTGGTAAATGCGAGCGGAAACAACCTTTACAGCGGCCAACGCATTCTGCATCTGACGCATTCGGCGGCGATTGTTGTGGGCGCGTCGTTCCTCCGGAGTCATTCTAGCGTATCTGAAAGAAACTATGCGATGCGCTATACGGCTACAGAATTTAGTGCCGACTAATATAGAAAAAAAA